TACAACCTGTTGGCAATGGATTTTGGTTATAAATGGAATAAGTAGGACAGTTTTTCACTATTTTCTTGGTCTGTTGCCAAGTGATGGAGAAGTCCTTTTTCAAACTTTTGCTATTTACATGATGTTTCTTATGAAATTCTGAGGCTTCTAGCACACTTCTAATTAATAAACGATCAACCTCATCATTGCCTTGTGCTAGTGGGCCAGGAGGACCCGTATGGGATCTGATATGTGCAATGTATATAGGATTACTTCTGTTTCTGATAGTTCCCTGTGATTGTAAAAACAGAGAACTTAATTCCGTATTATCAGAAATGAATTCTGCAGTCTCAATGTGTAACACAATCTCTCTGCATGTTGGGAATCAGCAACTATATTAAGAGGTTCTGTAAAATCCATAAGTACCATGAGAATTGCATACAATTCTGCCTGCTATACAGATGTAAATGGACTGTGAACTACTTTACTTACCTCTCCTGCTTTATACCCTGCCTTACCTGATTTGTGGGCATCAGTGTAGAAGTTAAGAACTCCAGAAATAGTTTGTCTTACAATACGTGGAAGAATCCAGACTGTCTTTTTTATGAATTTGTGTCAGTTTTGGGATAATTGTTGCTAATTGTTGCCAAAAAGTCAGTAAGAGCTATTTGCCAATATTCATTATCTTTCCACAAGGAGGAAATTTCTTCATTAGTTAAAGGTACTATTATTTCTGCTAGATCTTTTCCAGTGAGTTGATGAAGTCTTAATTTTCCCTTTAAAATCAAATCAGAAATCTTTTCTATACATGTCTTTAACTTTTTTTTCTGTTTATGTGGCAGAAATATCCATTCCAATATAGTGTCTTTTCTCTGCATCAGAATACCAGAAGGGTATTCTCCGGATGGCAAGATAACCAGAATACAGTCTAAATCAAGGTTTATCGATCTACATGGGCATCCAATATAGTTTTCTACCCTTTTTCTGCTCAGAAGATAATATTCTCGGACTGTTTAGGTCCTTATCACCTTTAAGGGCCATTTCTAAATGCTTTAAGTCATGTCCTTGTACACCAATATTCGTCTGTAATTGAAATATTTCCCCTAATAATTTCTGAAGGGAATTAAATTTGACAATGATCTCTCCTAATTGTTCCTTTTGAAGTCTGATTCTCTGTAAGTCTATCTTGTAAACTAAATAGTTAATAAAATCTCCTCCTTGTAACTTTTCTCGGGCAATCTGTAATCCCCAACAAGGCAGAACTTCCCTCACCATGTCAAACATACATTCCAAAGTTTCTTTATTGTAATCTGATAGAAGAATATCATCCATGTAATGATAAACAAGAGATTGTGAAAATTTCTTACCAATTATTTCCAATGGTTGCTGTACAAAGTGCTGACACAAAGTGGAGCTATTTATCATTCCTTATGGCAAAACTCTCCACTGATATCTCCTAACTGGCTATGAATTATTAAGAGTTGGTACTTTAAATGAAAAATTGTGCTCTATCATTTTCCTGTAACTGTATTGTCAAAAAACAGTCTTTTAGATCAATGACTATGATAGGCAATCCTTTAGGTGTTAAGGAAGGTAATGGCATTCCAGGTTGCAGAGAGCCCATTGGTTGAATTACCTTATTTATGGCTCTCAGGTCTGTCAACATTCTCCACTTAGCTGACTTCGTTTTGATAACAAATATAGGAGAATTCGAAGGACTGGTAGATTCCTCTATGTGTCCAGTTTCTAGCTGTTCCTGTACTAACTTTTCTAAAGCCTCAGCTTCTCAGAGGTCATAGGCCATTGTCCCACCCAAACAGGTTCATCTGCAAGCCATTTCAATGGCAGGGCTTTGGCTCCTCTGAAGGTCCATCATTTGTACCTAGTTACTATACAGCATGGATGGCTGGTAACTTTTTCCATAGTGTCTTACCAGATCATTTCTAAGATCTAAAGATTGTACATAATTTGTATCCAACGCTGGAGGAATATTAATCTGAGTATTCCATTGCTGTAAGAGATCATGAACCAGAGATTTATAGCTATATCTGCCACGCATGGTTTCAGTCTCCCTTTCTGTCCTTCTGGTCCTATGCAGACCACCAAGTTAACACTCTGTTGAACCCTAGATAAACTTCCAATTCCTAAACATTGTACATTTGCCTCTTTAAAGAGGCCATTTCTGAGGCCAAGCCTTTTTGGTAACAATAGCCACATCTGCCCCAGTGTCTACTCAGCCAGAAATAACTTTATTATTAATTTTCACTTCAACTGATGTCTTTTATCATTAGTAGAAGTTTGCAAAAATATGCGTTTCTCATTTTGTCCATTCACATTTGATTCTTCATCACTATTCAAGCTACCATCTAGAGCAGTATCATTTTTCACAATAGGCAAAGAACTAGCTATTCATCCTGTGAGAGACTGTCTTACACTGCTACTGGGAACATCCTGACTTTTCTTATCTAGAGCAGTATCATTTTTCACAATAGGCAAAGAACTAGCTATTCATCCTGTGGTAGACTGTCTTACACTGCTACTGGGAAGGACCTGACTTTTCTCGATGTGGGGGCATCTTGAGGTCCCCCTCGGGGTTTCACGGCCTTAACAGGTTTCCTTCATGTCCCTGGTCGATCTACATTCATTGGTCAAGTGTCTGCCTTACCACATCTTCTACACAAGCCAGAAAGCAGTGGCCTTCTGTATGAGGCATTGTTTGATCTGGATGGACTGAATATCATGTAAACCAGGTGGGCCAAGAATTTAGATCCACCTGCCTTGGCCTATGAACCTGGATGAGGATTGTATGACTCCCCATCTAGAAGCACTTTTATTTTTTTTAACACCAATACTCATAAATTAATGGCAAATCAGTACCATCCTGCATCCTAAAATTCTAATCCATGCTAAAATTCTAATTTCCTTGATAGAAGAATAAAATGTTCAATAATCCATTATAAGGTTTAGGTTAGATCTATGATTTGATTAAGTTTGTCTAAGTAGTGAGAAATCACAATCCAGGAAATGGTGAGTTATTTTAGTTGTAGTGGTGAAGACTCAAAGAAAAGAGACTAACAAACCAGTAAAACAATTTGTCTCCATTTTAAAGAGAATTTTAAAAAGTCACAGGGCAGTTTGAACCTCTGAAATCTATTTGACATATCCAGTATTCAGGTCTGGAACAGAATTTATCAATTTCTTTTGGATCATCTCTATCCTTTTCTTGAATATCAGACTGATCGGTACACAGAGATTCAGACACAATCAGAGCTTAATAGCTAGCAGTACAATACAACATTTTTTTTGTTTCATTTTTTTTATTAGTTTAAAATTAGGAACAAATTGGTTCACATGGCAATCCCTTCTCCCTCTCCCTCCCCTCCCCTGCATGCCCTTCCCATCAACTTTACAATACAGTATTAGTAATTTCAAAAATCAAACTGAATTCCAAACTACAAAAAGATGTACTCAAGTATTACATTCAGGTTTCAAATCATTTACAAACATGACAAAAGATTTGGCTTCAATCACTTTGTACAGAACAGACACCTCATCTACTGACCTGCTCTGCATCACAAGGTCATTCTTCAGAGATGGGTGTTTTCAAGCCAAACTTTTAATAGAATA